TATTTTGTTTGACACTAAGTGAATGTAGTCAACTTTCCTTTATGACGGGATAGAACATTTTAATGCAACTATTAATCTAAACCCATGGGTTAATAAGGGAAGTTGTGTTACACCTTGAGTTGGTAGATAAAAAACTGTACAGTTAGTTAAGGGGGAACAGCTAGAAACACTTTAAAAAAAGAGTGTGAATAACTTTGTATACTTATATTACAAATCACCTGTTTTGTTATACAGGCTGGGGGTTTTTTCCCCCTTTTGGTCATTCCTTTCTTTGCCCTGGATCCTGGATGGTGAACGGACCTACTCGTGAACTGGAGTCTCTCCTTGATGGGGAGTGGCGAGCCACCAATTGAGTACCGGGATTGGAATCTCCCTGCAATCGTCACCTGCCTCATTGTGTATGCGGTAGGACTATATGGTTATTGCTCCAAGGGACGGGAGCTGGACTATTTTATTTGGTTATTTTATTCAGGGTGCACCCATGAAGGGACTATTTCCTTTTAAAAAATTATATGCCGGCTTTATTCATTTTTGTCATTATTGTAAGTGTTGTTGTTGATGCGTATTAATACAGTTGCTTATTCCTGCAATCTGAGTGTCCCGGTTATTCATGAGTGTCTCTGTCATTAATCAGCCAACGGACTTAGAGTATTCTGGCCTTCAGTGTCTCCCACACAAGGGTTACAGCTGGAATGAGTATGCAGAGGATTTTAGCTGAGCGAAATTGAGGCTGCATGTTTGTGTGAATGAATGAAACAGGTTCTAAGTCTGTGTGTCAGACCTTGAGCTGCTGTAGTCTGAGCTTCTCATCCTCCATCTCTCTCTTGGCTCTGTCCTGCTCCTCCTGCAGCCGACGCTTCTCCTGAAGGAGCAAAGCATGAGGCAAGGACAGAAATAGCAAAGAAATGGAATGACTATGGACATATTGACAGTTTGGTAAAGAGGAAGTGAGGGCAAAAGGAGAACAATTTTATTCAAATAAAGAGATAGATGGACTGATAAACCGAGCACAGCCACACACATATGCAAGATGATGCACATTAATGAACAGAAACAATGAGGAGGAACAAGACAGCAGTGAATAAAACATCACTGGAAGAATAAAACGGCATGTAGTCAAACCATCTGTCACAAGGACACCACAGACATCAGGTAAACTGTATCCCATGATGTTCAGAGCAGCAGTCCCATTGACAACCTGGTGGTTTTCATCAGAGTGGATTAAGGAGGAGAGTGACAACATCTCCACTGATTCTAGGACCTTTTTTAAAAAAAAAAAAACAGTAATGGCAAATCATGGGAACACTGAATAGTTCCAAACATCAGGAGCAGGCGCCATAGAGTTGCACTGACCTGGCTGTTGGCCTATCTTCTAAAGTAAGAAGTTGAAATCAATAGCAATAATTATACTTGTGACATTTTATGTTAGCAACATCTGTCAAAGCATATTTTACAACCTTTTAACTGTGCCTCTCCAATATTGGGTCATTTTATTATTTAGGTACCCAGCTAACTAGCTAAATTAGCTGAGCTAGGTATCTAGACTACAACAACAACAACATAACACAGAATTGGTCTGCAAGGCCAATTCATTAAAAGTAGTAATTTGCTGATAAATCCGGCTGCGCCCTACAGACAACAATAGATATGAGTTGGCTGTTTGGAACTATTGGAAACTACTCGTGTATCTTAAGAGCGCTGGTTTTCATGGGATCAGGGACACCCTGGCTCACCATATTGCACACATCATAAATTATTTAGGAGTTACAAACAGGTCGAAGAACAGCTTAGTCTCTTTACCACCTCTTTCTCTAAACACAAAAATCAGGTAGTAGGTGGAAGCAGACAAATTGCCATAATGATGGTGGTACTTTACTAATAAACCTGCCTATAATACATATTTTGAGTGGCTTTCCACAAAGGGTAACCAGAACTTTTAAAGAACCAGGACCGCTGTCGCTTCTGTCCACAGTCTGCACCAAAGCACCTGGTTAATTGTACTCTAACTAAAACCTGTGTCAGTATAAATTACATACTAGTGCTTGGAGATTGAACAACCTCCACATTCACATGCATGCCATCTACATCTGACAGAGAGGGCAGCTGTTGACCTTGAACAACACAAACATCTCTGCTTGTACTAGCAGTGTAAACATGCCACCGCAGTGATGGCAGTGGTGCCTCAGAGGGCAACATATACTGTAAATCAGCCGCTTGATGCATCCATATATAAGTAAATGTACGTTTGTGTGTGTGTTCTAGTTGACTCACAGCAATGGCCTCTAGTCGCTGTTTGTACTTCTCCGTCTCATCCATCCTGACACCTGTGACAGAAGACGTTTAAAGGTTAGAGATCAGAATTTAAACAATATGGGACAAGTCAAATGGATTCATTTATTTCCAGAATTTAGTGTGTTCACTGCTTTCAGAGAATGAGCCCAGGCTATTATTTCAGATGAATCATCTGAAGAGCTTTTAAAACTTTCTAAATCAAATCAAATCAAATCAAATCAAATTTTATTTGTATAGCGCCAAATCACAACAAAAGTCATCTCAGGACACTTTACAAAGTAAGGTCTAGACCTTACTGTTATCAATATTATTACATAGGGAAAACCCAACAAATCCCCCTTGAGCAAGCACTTGGCGACAGTGGGGAGGAAAAACTCCCTTTAACGGAAGAAACCTCCGACAGACCCCGGCTCTTGGTGGGCGGCCTTCTGCCTCGACCGGTTGGGGTGAGTGGATAGAGGAGAGACAAAAGAAGAAAAGCAACAAGACACAACAATCAAACACTGATCAGGTCGATGTGGCCGGTGACTGCTGGGAGGGGAGAGAAACTCAGAGCATCATGGGGCCCCCCAGCAGCCTAGGCCTATAGCAGCATAACTAAGGGAAGGCTCCGGGTCACCTGATCCAGCCCTAACTATAAGCTTTATCAAAAAGGAACGTCTTAAGTCTAATCTTAAAGGTAGAGAGGGTGTCCGCCTCCTGAACTGAGACTGGGAGTTGGTTCCATAGGAGAGGAGCTTGATAGCTAAAGGCTCTGCCTCCCATTCTGCTTCTGTGGACTCTAGGAACCACAAGTAAACCTGCACTCTGAGAGCAAAGTGCTCTGTTTGGATGATAAGGCTCTACGAGGTCTTTATGATACAATGGAGCCTTGTTATTAAGGGCTTTGTATGTTAGGAGAAGGATTTTAAATTCTATTCTGAATTTTACAGGGAGCCAGTGGAGAGAAGCTAATATGGGAGAGATATGATCTCTCTTGCTAGTTCCTGTCAGTACTCTGGCTGCAGCATTTTGGATTAGCTGGAGGCTTTTTAGGGAATTATTGGGACATCCTGATAGTAAAGAGTTACAGTAGTCCAGCCTGGAAGTAACAAATGCATGGACCAGTTTTTCAGCATCACTTTGAGACAGGATGCTCCTGATTTTTGCAATATTGGGCAGGTGAAAGAAGGCAGATCTAGAGACTTGGTTTATGTGTGATTTAAAGGACATATTCTGATCAAAGATGACTCCAAGGTTCCTCACAGTAGTACTGGAGGCAAGAGCTATGTCATCTAAAGTAACTATATGATTAGACAGCAGATTTCTAAGGTTTTCTAGCATTTTATTCTTTTGAGATGTCCATTTTTTGTGCTGTGTGGTCTTGTCTTTGAAAGTGTACAATTCATTATCTAACAGTGAAGAAGATAATCAATCAATCAACACAAGACCAGAGATAGGATTGCAGACTGCTAGACAAGTATTACGCCAGTACATGCCTTTGACTGCAGGGCCGCCATGACCCATAATCTTCCTCACAAAAAAATATTTCCTTCAGACTCCCATCAAGCCTTTTGTTTCTGTTATGACACAGCCTCAGGCATCTACAAGGAAATTAGCATATGTGTTATTTGTTTTTCCCTGCAGCTGACACTAAATGGGAAAATATTTGAGCTCCACAAAACTCAGAAGTACAACAGGGAACATAGACAGAGTCATACACAGCAACCAGCCCACAGCAACTCAGTCATTAGCGGCTCCCCCCAGCCATAACTCTGCTTCTAGAGGAGTACCCTTTAAAAGTTTAGCTTTTAACATCATCTTCTGAGCAGAGAAGGAACACTTTTTTTGTCCCATGTGTAATTCTGTACTGGGTAGGTTCAATAAATCTTCCAGTCACAGTCAGTCCCATGAGGCAATGTAATAATTCTGTCCCACAGGAGTTATTTAGCTATCACAGCAACCAAGATCATTGAGGGAGCTCCGAGTTTTATGGGGCTCTACAGTAAATCTTTAACAAATGCCAGTGTTGTTAATCGCCATCACAGAGTTTTAAAGTGCAAAATGTGTGCTTACACATGTGTATGTATGCACTGTTAAACAGTGTACAAACACTACTGTGTCGGGCTCGGGCTGGGTTCAGACATTATATACGATAAGCTTATGGGGTCTGGCTTGGGTTCAGATGCCGCACTCTCAGGCATGGGTTGGGTTCGGACAGAAATATGCAGCCTGAATCACTTTGTACTCCAGAAGGCAACTCAGTAGAGCTGAAGCCATTGCTGCTCCTCCAACAGTGTAGATCTTTCAGGACCTTAGTGGGTGTTGGCTCAGTACCAACACCTGAAAAATTCCTTCAGTGCCCTACAAGAGTGGGCTGTGTGGTGGGTTCACTGTGGCAAAGGCGCTACATAAAACAATATGAAAACAAAGGTGTACTTTGTATAGAAGAAGAAACAAAACAAGGGCATTTTTGATGGGAAAGAACTTCTGGTATGTCTTTCATTATTCGGGCACTCTCAAGAACTGAAGTGGCAAGTCATAGTTGAAGGATCAGGAAAAAGACGTATGAGAATACATATACACATTGTATATAAAAAGACAAGAAAGAATGCAGCATAGTTAGAAAGAGACAAAATCTCATTTTGGCAGTGTTTTGACTGACTGGAGGTGCCGTGACAGCTTACAGTATAAGCCTCCGTAGGGATTGGAGGCTTGTGTCTTGACTCCAGGAGAGCGCCTAGAATAGCAGCCAGAGATAAACAAGCAAACACAAACAGAAGCTTTGATGAGGAGGTATTGAGTAGCTCCCTGTAGACACACGCTGACTTCGATAATTAGATATGATACAGGAGGGTAGAGGAGAGAAGGCTGACAAAGTCAAAAAGTTAAGAGACAGAGAAAGTCAAGGTGGCTGGAAAGAACAGCGGCAGAGAGAGAGAGAGAGAGGGGAACAAGGTGACAGGAAATGTAGCAGCTAGGATTCAGATGTCCACAAAATGGGACAGCCTGCGACTTGTATAGGACAGACTGAAGAGTGTTCATGTACTGGAGGGAGAGGGAAATTGTAAATTTAATCTACTCTGACACTGATCAATCTGTCTGCATTCCTGGTTTGCTTCATTTAAAGGACTAACAGTGACCCAAAGAGCTGAAGGTACCCAGTATTTCACAAGAAGGAAAAATAAGTGTAAAAATATATGCAATTTGATAATTGTACTGTACTGTCAATGTGTTCAGGAAAAGCTAGATTCTTAATTATATTTTTGTTACACAAAGGAGTTAAATTTTATGTTATTGCTGTGTTGATTCAATTCAATTTTAATTGTATAGCGCCAAATCACAACAAAAGTCGTCTCAGGACACTTTACAGAGTAAGGTCTAGTCCTTCCTATTAATATATTCAATCTGTTGATTGAAATGAAAGTACTTCTCTTATTTCTTTAAACTAACAAACTACTTAATCATATTTAAAAGGATGCGTGTTTGATAAGTGAATTCAGAACTGCTTTCAGAGTCGATAAAATGTTGTAAAACCTCATCCATAGAGCATTTTAGAATTAAACTGGCCAGTCACGTTAAGTCTCTTCTATTTATGTAGGCAGAATCACAAATCACAGCTTTGCCTGTGACATCCTCTATTGTTTAACCCTTGATTTAGATAAACACCCTGCCCCCACACCCCACCCCTGCCAAAAAGGAATTTAGCAAGAAAAAGGAGGATACTCCAGACAGACATTGAACAGAGTATCCAAAATAGCAATAAACAGAAACCAGTATGGACAATTAAGATGACAATATCACTATAAACCATTAAAGATTTCCTTTAAGTCGATTTTACTGGGTCATTTGCACACTATAAAACCAATTAAGAGTTTTATTAATGCTAAATCTTTAACCATCATTCTTACACCTTAACTGCAAGATTTCACACAACTCCCACACTCCTTTTGTGGTATTAAGAAAGCACAGCAAGCCACAAATGTGTCGTGGGACCAAACAAAAACTGCACTTGTTCACTGGACCCTGATACACTGCAGTATATCCAAAACATGTCAGAACCAGTCAGCAGTAGTAAAACACCAATATGGCACATGGCGAAGAACCCAGCTTGGCTGCTGCAGTGTTTAATTACAGGCACTGGTTCATGCCTGTAATGTCTCTTACAAGCCAACTCAGTGACAAACAGTTCTTTTCAAGGCATTTATTTGCACTCTGCACCAACACATTGGCATGGAGCAAATCATAGGCTTCTGACCTCAGTGGTATGACCCCCGACACACACACACACACACGTGTGTGCAGTGTATATCTCCCAGTCTCCCTCCCACTTATTCACACACATTGATTTAGCATTCATTTTGCCTTTGTTCACAGCAAACATTTTGACCTGTCACAGTAGTAAAAACACGGGTGTTACTGATTAACAATGGCTGTGTTCCATTGTGTTCAGGAGTCTCATTAAGCCATGACAGTGTGATGGTGAGCCACCATTAACCATCCCCGATGCTGGAATTGAGGCAGCTAAATGGAATTCAGCCGTCATTCAGCTTTACCTGCTTTTACAGTTAGAAGTATTCTGCCCTCCTATCCTCAGAAAGTCAAGGTCAACAATAATCATTGTTTTAGTCCTCTATAGATTAAAAATGCCTGTTTCAGCTCATAATTACAACATTTTACTATTTTATTCAGTTTACATCATCTTTGGATTTTGGACTGTTGGGCAGACATAACATGTGCCCCCCAGCCCCCAACTATTTCTCACAAATAAGAAGCAAATCTAAGCAATCTTTGGCATTTATTCACAAAAAATTACTGTTTATGAACAGTCAATTATCAATAGCTGCAGAGTAATTTCCTGTCAATCAACTAATTGTCTCAGCTCTGAGCTGATTAACAAAATAAAATTATAGATGGATGAACTAAAAGCAATCCTATGTTGCAGCATGATCATATGCTGCATGGTCAAATATATGATATGAATTTAATGTAGGACCACATATGGAAGCGGCCCAGATCAGGTTTGGGGAAAAAAAAAAAATCTGATTTGGTT